TAACGACTAAGTTAAGGGAATTTTCATACTTTCGTGATTTAGTTGATGACCTGTATTTATGAAAGATGGTGCAAGGCTGAGAATTGTAAACAAACAAAGTGGACGCCTTAAATATTACAAAATATTTGCTGTTTCACTGCTCACTGATATATATACATACATTTTTTCTTAAGTTGTAAGCAGCAAGATGTCTGTATATGCACAGGCTTTGAGCTTTATAGATACAGCATTAAGAATACCGCCACTCTTTATTATGGACGAGGTTCTCAAGTGCTGTTTTGGCTTCTCAGGATCTATAGGAGTCCGGTGAGTTTTATTATTATATTATTTATGGGGAAGCCATAAACCCATATGAGTTATACAACTATTGAGGCTTGGGAAACAATCAGGTTTGATGAAAGGAAGAGCATAACTCCTTCATATATAGCAGTATGACCCTTGTGGGTATAGAGCTTAATGTTGATAATAATAATAATAATAATTTAATTCATATAATCAGTTGGTCTTCACCTGCATCAAGGCCCCTCCCTTGAAAGGTCTATAATTCGTGTACAGAGTTCTAGTATTTGTTAGTATATTGTATTTAGAAAAAAAATGTAGTGCTGTAGATTTTATCCAGATTATTAATCTAGAGGGTTAGTAACCCAAGATAATTTAAAAAGGATACTGTGTCTGGTTTATTGCCATTAGTGTCCTTTGATCATCTTCCCAAGATGCAACCCACAGCAGTTAGTTAATACTGAAGTATCTATATATTGATTGATGAATAAGACACGTGCAACACTTGGGTATTGTTGAAATGTTTCATCTGAACAGCAGGCTACTTCAGTCTAGTACAGGCAGTTATAATACCAGAGACAGTAAATAGAAGGTAGTCAATCTCCCGGCTTAAAGCAGAGGCGTGAGGCCAGCGACATACTGACAGTGAGGTGTAGCAGCTGGAGATGACAACAGGTTTAAGGAAACATACCCAATATTTCCACTTGTGATGAGATCCTAAAGGTATAAGCAGAAGGCACTGCCACTTGAGCCATGAGTGCTTTTTATAGTAGTTATGCAATGATGACATTTTTAAATTCTTGATTTTGTATACTTCTCTGTTTTCAGGAACATAACCACCATGTTATCAGAAATTTAGTAAAATTATTAACTTTTGACTTACATTGCGTTATACAATTGGAGGGCATAAATATTGGCTATGGAGTCACATATATAGCTGACCAGTAAAAGAATTTAAATTTTTAAGGGTTCATAATTTGCATAAGGTGTTCAAAATAGGGTCTGAGTGTTTTCATGCCATCATACTAAACATTGAACAAATGACCAGGTTAAAAGAATAAGAACCAGTACACTACAAAACAATACAATTTTTATTTCTTTATGCAGTACAAATAATGTAGCTTACATGTAACAGAACAGTGGTAGGCACAAAAGAAAGCCACTAATTATGCAATGCATTTTGGGCAAACTAAGCCTAATGCTTAAATGTTACTTAAGATGTAGACTTAAATTATTAAGTAGGACTCCTTATGCGGTTAATTACACTCATAAGCCACACCGAGATCCAGCTGTACTGTGAAAGATCATCAGATTCTCTTGAATCCATGTTAAATGGAGTTTTAAGCACATTCTCTATTGGGTCTAGTTGTGAGTCTAATAATAATTTAAGCACATTACCATTATTTATTTGCTGTGTGCCAAATCCAACACAGTGCTAATATGGTGGGTTGATATAATTTGTCTCTGATGGGTAAATTTTTTTTTTTTTTTAATTGCTAATTTGAATAAATCACTCTAATAGTGTATTTGTACTTATTTACTGTACTGGGTATTTACAGATTTCAAATACAGATACTGCATGTACAGTGGACCCTCGACCAATGGTTTTACTCCATTCCAGAGAGCTAGCCTTTAGTCGAATTAGCCATTAGTCGAATTAATTTTCCCCATAAGACATAATGGAAATAGAATTAATCCAGTCCAGACACCCAAAAGTATTAACCCGTAAATGGTCCAAACGTATATATACGTTTATACCGTTAGTGCCCCAAACGTATATATATGTTTTATGTGTCCTACATTTAACATTGCCACGATAAGCCTGAGTCGCCTAAACATGTGAGAATGGGTTTGAGTCTCAGTAGTAGTACCAGTTCCTAGTAACCAGTTACCAGTAACCAGTGTATCAGTAGATGACTTACTACCAACCGTCTCTGCGTGAATCACTGACTGTATTCATATTGCTGCTGACCATAGCAGGATTTCAAACACCCCCTCACATAGGCACTGTGGGTCAGTTAGTCTTACGATAGAGAGCAGAGAGGCAGGACGGCAGTTGGCGCCTTCACACACATTCCGTTATATTATACGTACTACCAGCCTACGTGAGTATTTTTACCCTATCCACGTTTTCGAAACCCACATGACAAATGGTGACAGCGGTGGGATTGAACTCTTGGATAGTCAAGGTCCATCTGGCTAACCTTCCAGTAGGTTGTTTGTCCTGGAATAGAGGTATCAGTGCCAAAACCCTTGTAACAAATCCAGGGTTGAAAAGACTTTGTTATCTCCGATGTTACGTAAAAGATCACCCAGTACAGGAAGTGGGAAGCGATCTGGAATAGTTTTCGCATTTAACTTCCTAAAGTCAATCACTGGGCGCCAAGTACCATCCTTCTTAGGTACTAGGATCAAGGGTGCATTCCAAGGTGAATTACTAGGTGCAATAACTCCATCATCAAGCATTTGATTGATCAATTCTTCTGCGACAGCAACTTGTGAATGAGGCATTCTGTACGCAGGTATATAGATGGGTCTAGTACCAGGTTCAAGTGGAATACGATGGGACAATAAGGTCGTAATACCCATCTTCTCACCTGCTCTCAGTAGTAGTACCAGTTCCTAGTAACCAGTTACCAGTAACCAGTGTACCAGTAGATGACTCACTACCAACCGTCTCTGCGTGAATCACTGACTGTATTCATATTGCTGCTGACCATAGCAGGATTTCAAACACCCCCTCACATAGGCACTGTGGGTCAGTTAGTCTTACGATAGAGAGCAGAGAGGCAGGACGGCGGTTGGCGCCTTCACACACATTCCGTTATATTATACATACTACCAGCCTACATGAGTATTTTTACCCTATCCACGTTTTCGAAACCCACATGACATGAGCACTCACTGTGCACCATATTAAAATAATTGGGGATGCCTGGGTTCCATATGCTCTTTTTTCCTATTAAAAAAACAACAATGTTTTTTTCTCAAAAAAGTTGGGGCAGTACGGTAGTGAACGTATATATATGTTTGGACCGTTTACGGGTTAAACGAAATAATTTTTTTTTACGTGAAATATACATTTCCCTACACAGAAATGAATGGTACATGCAAAATAAACAATAATTAAATACCACTTACCTTTCTTGTGGAGTTGTTGATGAGTGATGTGCCAGCAGTAGGGGAGATTCAGGTGTTCTATTGTTTGGAAGGAAAATCCCCTTCCATAAAGACTTCAGGTAACAAGTTCTTTTCTGGGGTTACCTCCCTTCTTGGTTTTTTAATGCCACTAGGACCAGCTTGAGAGTCACTGGACCCTTGTCGCACAAAATATCAGTCCAGAGAGCTCTGTTTCTCACATGCCCTTAGGATTTCCCTAAAATGGGACACAAGAGTGTCATTGTACGTGTTGCCAATACAGCTTGCAACAGCTGTGACAGGATAAAATTCATCCATAAATGCTTGCACCTTTGTTAACATTGTACACATTTCCTTAATCCTTGATGAAGGCAACTTCCTTCGTATCTGTTCCTCCTGCTCTGAAGCACATTCCTGAGCTGTGATCTGTTGTTGTTGCACCTCACGCTCTTGCAGGTCGGCAGTGGTTAGTTTTTCATCGTTGTTCTGCACCAACTCTTCCACATCCTCGCCACAAATCTCCAACCCCATGGACTTCCCCAATGACACAATAGCTTCCACAACTGGCATAGGCTCCTGAGGATTAGCCCCAAACCCTTCAAAATCCCTCTCTTGTACACATTCTGGCCACAGTTTCCTCCAAGCAGAGTTCAAAGTCCTGCAAGTCACTCCCTCCCAAGCCTTACCTATAAGGTTTATGCAACTGAGGATATTGAAGTGATCTTTCCAAAACTCTCTTAGGGTCAGTTCAGTGTCTGAGGTCACTTCATAGCACTTTTGAAACACTGCTCTTGTGTAGAGTTTTTTGAAGTTTGAAATAACCTGCTGGTCTATGGGCTGGAGGAGAAGAGTTGTATTAGGAGGCAAAAACTTCACTTTAATGAAGCTAAACTCCCCTGCAATTTGCTCTTGCAAGTCGTGAGGATGAGCAGGAGTATTGTTTATTACCAGGAGGCATTTGAGTGACACAGGAGGTAATTTTTCATAGTGGAGCCAGACACACCATAAAACCAGTCCATGAAAATTTCCCTAGTGACCCATGCCTTACTGTTTGATCTCCACAGCACACACAAATTACCCTTGACGATATTGTTTTTCTTGAACACTCTGGGAGTTTCAGAGTGATACACTAATAAAGGCTTCACTTTCTGATCACCACTAGCATTACTACACAGCATTAATGTCAGCCTGTCTTTCATAGGCTTATGTCTTGGGAGTCCCCTTTCCTCCAGTTACAAGCACTAAAAACACTGGAATAATACAAAATATATCACAGGTACACGTGGAATCGACCGCAACGGCTTGTAAACAATGGCACACTGAGTCTTGGAGTGGCTGGGTCCGCTCAGGCCGCACTCCAGCCGCATGGACACATTTGGGACGAAAGCCGTTAGATAAGTTTTTCGCCGTTGGTTGAGCCATTTTTTTACGCCAATGAGTGCTGTTAGACGAATTTCCCGTTAGTTGATGCCGCTGTAGCTCGGGGGTCCACTGTACTATACTGTATGACCAAATCGTGTAACGCTTTATATTAGTCTGGAGAATCACTTGAGGAAGGTCTTAATCATGAGATGATGCACTGAAGGGTTCTGTTGGCTTCCCTCTAGGAGCAAAGCAAAAAGCATCCACCTCCACATGGTGCTGTTGTTGATGTGGTATCTATGGACACAGATTCCAAAACCGGGGAGGTCTTTGACACTATGGTGGGCAATGACAGTTGGAAACATTTATTTCTCAGTACTTGAGGGCCTGGTCTCCAATCTGCACACTGCCATAACAACATACTGGAGTGGGAGATATGGGAGGAAGTGTAAAATAAACCCAGTGAGGAGCAGGGGTGCAGTGAGGACAATAAGGGAACACTGTATCAACATCCACGGTCCCAGACTATTCAACATCTTACCAGAAGATATCAGAAACACGACTGGAACAAGTGTAGAAGCCTTCAAGAGGAAACTGGACAAGTATCTTCACCAAGTATCTGTCTTAAGGATTACTCCACGTAAACCTCCAACAAATCCAGATCAAGTCCCAACCCCACTTTACACTCACACACAAAAGTTCAAAGCCAACCACATTCTACTCAAAGCTAACCACACCCTACTGAAAGCTCACATCAACTGGTAGGTCTGATGTGCTTTCACAAATGCGCTGATGTTATTTATACCATTTTTACAATAATGCAGTATTCTGCATAAAAGTAAATCTATTTTTTTTTTGTGAATAAAAATCTAAAATGGAAAGGAAGAGTATGCCAGATCAACCAGGCTGTGATGGATATGTAGGGCAGTGTGCCTCCAGCAGCAGCAGCCTGGTTGACCAGGCAAACACCAGACGAGCCTGGCCCATGGCCGGGCTCTGAGAGTAGTGAAACTCTCAAAACTCTTCAAAGGTATATCAAAGGTGCTGGACTTTGATGTTCTGTGTGTAAAGACATTACATACAGGCAGGCCCCACTTTACAGCACTTCACTTTACAGTTTCACTAATACAGTGGTTTTCAGTTACAGTAAGTCCTCAACTTACAAACACATTAGGGATCTCCTGAATCGTGTATAATATTCATAATACAGGAAGTCTTCAACGTATGAATGCATTGAGGACCCTCTGTATTATGTATAATAATGATATAATAATGATATTTTACACAATAATGATAAAATAATGATATTTTTCACAATAATGATAAAATAATGATATTACACACAATACAGAAGATTCTCAACATGTTTGTAAGTCAAGGACTTACTGTATACCCATTCTTCATTTATTTAGACTTCCTACAATAAATATATTCACCACTCACTATAAGCTAAGGATGAAAATATTTTAAAGTAAGTAATGTGTGTACTGTATATGCATTTTATAGGCCTATCTATATTTCTCACCTAATATATGATAGGGTAAACATGTTATCAGGCTTTTATACGCATTTGAAAGTGAAAAAAGGCAATTATTCACTTTACAACAATGTTTGCTTTACAGCAGCAGCCTGGAACCTAACCTGCTGTACAAGTGGGGCCTCCTGTACTTGATAACTTTCATTGTCTTTAAAAAACTGAGGCAAATTACTGTATGTACAGTATATGGGTAAGGCTGAATAGATTTAATTTTTATTTTGCTAGAAACAATCATATACAGTGGCACCTCAGTTTTCGTATGCCCCAGTTTTCGTAGGATTCGGTTTTTGACGACTTTTTCATCGAAATTTTGTCCCAGTTTTCGTACATCTGCTCGGTTTTCGTAGAGTTGAAAATGGTCCGTACCAAACGTGTCCGCGTGACTCGGCCACTCAAGCGCCCACACAAAGCACCCCACTCAGTCTGCCTTTGTTTCTCATTGAGTGAGCATCACCCCGCGTGTTCATCCAAAACATTTCGTAATAATCCACTGTTTTTTTGTGTTTGTTTATTGAGTGCGACTGCTAAGTAAGCCACCATAGGGCCAAAGAAAGTTCTGAGTGCCAGCCTTTTGATAAAGAAGGTGAGAAACACGATAGAATTCAAGAAAGAACACGTAGCAAAGTAGCATGAAAGTGGCGTATGCGTGGCTGATCTCACCAGGATGTACAGGAAGTCCACATCAACGATCAGTTCCATCCTGGCGAAGAAGAAAGAAATCAAGGAAGCTGATGTTGTGAAGGGGGTAAATGTGCTAATGAAACAGAGATCGCAAACAATCAAAGATGTTGAGAAGTTGTTGTTGGTGTGGATCAATGAAAAACAGTTAGTGGGAGATAGTGTTTTGGAGGCGATAATTTGCGAAAAGGCAAGGCAATTGCATGCGGATCTCACAAAGAAAATGCCTGGAGCGAGTGCTGCTGTTAGTGAATTTATGCCAGCAGAGGCTGGTTTGACAAATTCAAGAAGTGAGCTGGCATACACAGTGTGGTAAGGCATGGCGAGGCTGCAAGTTCGGAAAAACGAGTCTTCAGTAAAGGTATAAGTGATGTTAAAGGTTCATTTATTCATTTCATTAGTTATTTATATTTATTTCTCATTGTTTTCTGTATGTAAAACTATAGTTATTTTATATGAAATGTATTTTTTGTTAATATTTTTGGGTGTCCAGAATGGATTAATTGGATTTACATTATTTTTTATGGGAAATATTGCTTCAGTTTTCGCACGATTCAGTTTTCATCACTTTTTAGAACGGATTAATCATGAAAACCGAGGTTCCACTGTATGTTGAAGAGTACACTTCAAGGATAAAACTATCTGCTACACTCTGTTCAAAATAAAGTTCAGTAAACCTTAGTTAAATGGATCCTGATTTAATAGATTTCAAATTAATGAACAAAATAAAAACAATCAGGCAAAGTCCAATGTTTCCATAATTGTCCTTTATTGGTATAATTGATGGATAAATTACTTTCAGAAGCAGTGGACAAAGTATGTTGTTTCCAAAATTGTCTATTATTGTCATAAAGAAGAGTGGCTGTGGGTTGTGTATAGTTTATGCTTGTTACCTGTTTTTGTGATCTCTGTTATGACATTACAGATAATGTGCTATTTTTTCATTGTATATAATGGTTGTCTTAGTATCCAAAGTTCTTGTATTTTTAGATATGCAAGTCTCCTTAGTGATGGAAATCCATTCCTCAATGATGAAGGTTTTGGACAGCTTCACCATGACGATATGAAAATGTGGGCCACAGAAAATGATACAAGTTTGGGATTGGAGGATTACAGCATATTTGCAAGTATTGCACCTACAGTAGCAAAAGTATTTATGTTTATATTTGGTAAGTATATTGATCCTTTGAGTGTGTTATAAAGTTTATATAATTCTTATGTTATAATATTTCTATATCACCAGTGTTGCTGATATTCTCCATTCAAACTTTCACAAATTATTTTACATCTTGTAAGGTACATATGTTATACAATGTATGTCAAAGGGCCTAAAATCTGGAACACCCTACCTGAAAATTCTAAAACTGCAGACACATTCATCACCTTCAAAACTACCATCAGAAAACATCTTATCTCCCTGATACACCCTGTCAACTAATTACACGAATACCACCTGGTGGTTAACACTTACACTCACTCACCCATTTGACCATAAACAGAAATATCAATCTCAAAACCATACCCCCGGCCGGGATTGAACCCGCGGTCATAGAGTCTCAAAACTCCAGTCCGTCGCGTTAGCCACTAGACGGACTGGAGTTTTGAGACTCTATGACCGCGGGTTCAATCCCGGCCGGGGGTATGGTTTATTTGCAATCGTGTCATTACGATTTCTTAAGTCATATCAATCTCAATCTCAAAATAATGAATCTTAACTAGTCATAAGTTGGCCTGTGATACTCCAATACTGAAACTGTGTATAGTGCCAAAACAAAAGCATTCACATTGCTAAACTCACAAACTAGTATTTAGTCACTTAGCCATAATACCAACTTACCTCATAATTTTGTAATATTTTAAACTTAAGATTTAATTTAAGTCTGCCCGAAATGCCTAGCCATGCTAGGTATTCTAGTGGTACACTCTGTAATTATTATTTTACTACATGTAAACAATACAATAACCAAATTCTGTAAACTCAGCATTGTAATCCTTATAGAGAATAAACTTTGAATTTGAATTTGAATTAGTTTGTAGCTTACACTTTACTATGAAATAACATAGTTGGTAGCTCTCACTTTCACTCTTTTATTTACACAACACTTGCACCACTACTAGTTCTATTCTAGCTGTACTGTATATGAATTATGGTAATAAGTGATTGAAATACTGCATTCATCTAGATCTCTGGTGCAGGGGTTCCCCTGACTTACGAACACTCAAGTTATGTTAATCCTCACTTACAAACGAGGTTCAAGACAGAACATTAAAACATGATTGCTTTATCATTGTGGATCTGCAGTTACAAACATATGATACATAATTTTCCTTTGTATTATTGTTTTCTATAGGATAATAGGTTCAGGGTTGCCAATGACTTGTTTGTAAGTTGAAACACTGGGAATGCAACTTGTTCACAAGTTAGAGATCCCTCTATATTGCCATTTTATGAATGTTATAATTTAAAAGCGCTAGCTGCTCATATTTTATGAGGCCCATTACACATTGTAAAGCAATTTTTTTTACAAATGTTAATGAAACGATGAATTATAGCAGAATATATTATTGCTTTTTATATAGTATTAAATTGTTTATAATTGAGCATTAATATACAACTTCAGTATTGTATTACAGTGGAACCCCTTAGTATTGGCACATATGTATCTGTTTTTGGTCATACAGTGGAACCTCAAAAATCGAACGTATCACATATCGAACGTTTCGAAAATAGGACCATTTTTTTCGGACAAACTGTGTCCCTATTATCGAACGCGCCCCTATTTTCGGACTGCTGGGTACGGGACATGTCCGCGGGGCCCGTTCTGTCTGCGTCCCCGCGCAGGCGCCGTGAGCAGTCTAGCTTTGTTTATGCTTGAGTGAACACTAACCTGCACTCTCATTCGCACATTTTACGATTATTTCGTTGTGTTTAGTGCTTGTGGGACTGTGAAATAAGCTGCCATGGGCCCAAATAAACTTGCTAGTGGTACCCCTGTGATAAAGAAAGTGAGAAACACCATAGATGTGAAGAAGGAAATAATACAGAAGTATGAGAGTGGTGTGAGACTTGTTGAGCTTGCCAGGATGTATGGGAAAAACAAGTCGACCATTGGTTCTATCCTGTCAAAGAAAGAACAAATCAAGGAAGCTGATGTTGCGAAAGGTGTTAATATGCTAACCAAAAAAAGACATGGTGAGGCAGCCAGTTCAGACAAACAGGCGGCTGAGAAGTTTGTACAGGAGTTTAAGGGGTACATAGACAGTGGAGATTTCAAACCTGAACAAGCGTTTAATTGTGACAAAACAGGCTTGTTTTGGAAGAAAATGCCAAAAAGGACCTTCATCACACAGGAGGAAAAGGCACTGCCAGGACACAAACCTATGAAAGACAGGCTTACTTTTTTGTTCTGTGCTAATTCTAGTGGTGATTTTAAGTGAAGCCATTACTTGTGTATCATTCAGAAAATCCCAGAGTGTTTAAGAAAAACAATGTCTTTAAGAACAAGTTATGTGTCTTGTGGAAAGCTAATCATAAGGCATGGGTCACAAGACAAATTTTCAAAGAGTGGGTCTATGAAGTATTTGGCCCCAGTGTGAAAAAATACCTCCAGGAAAAGAAATTGCCACTCAAGTGCCTCCTGTTAATGGACAATGCTCCTGCTCATCCTCCAAACTTATTAGACCTCTTGTCTAAGGACTTCAGTTTTATAAAAGTGAAGTTCTTGCCTCCTAACACCACTCCTCTCCTCCAGCCCATGGACCAGCAGGTAATTTCTAACTTCAAAATCTCTACACAAAAGCAGTGTTTGAAAAGTGCTTTGAAGTGACCACAGACACTAAGTTGACCCCAAGAGAGTTCTGGAGGAATCACTTCAACATCTACAACTCCATAAGCCTTATAGGTAAGGCTTGGGAGGGAGTGACTTCCAGGACTTTGAACTCTGCTTGGAGACAATTGTGGCCAGATTGTGTCCAAAAGAGGGATTTTGAAGGGTTTGAGGCTGACCCTGACCCTGACCCAGCTCACCCTCTGCCTGTTGTGGACTCTATTGTGGCATTGGGGAACACCCTGGGGTTGGAGGTGAGTGGTGAGGATGTGGAAGAGTTGGTGGAGGACCACAGGGAAGAGCTAACCATTGAAGAGCTGCAAGAGTTTCATCTGGAGCAGTATCAGACCACAGCTGAGGAACTTGCTTCAGAGGAGGAGGAAGAGGGAGTGGATGAGGTGCCTTCTTCAAAGATTAAGGAGATTTGTGCCAAGTGGAATGATGTCCAAATGTTTATGCAGAAGTACCACCCTGAGCAAGCTGAAACTAGCCATATTTGCAACAAGTTCAGAGACAGAACAATGTCCCATTTTAGGGAAATGTTAAAGAGGCACCAGAAACAGAGGACTGTGGACAGTTATTTGTGAGACAGGGGTCCAGTGACTCTCAAGCTGGTCCTAGTGGCATTAAAAGACAGAGAAGGGAAGTAACCCCAGAGAGGGCTTTACCTGAAGTCCTCATGGAGGAGGATTCTCCTTCCAAACACTAGCCCCAACTCCCTCTCTCCTCCTCCCTATCTTCCAGATGCCATCACCAATCTTCAATAAAGGTAAGTAAAAATGTTATTTTATATGTATTACTATACATAATTAAAAACTATAGTATTTATTGTATGTAAAACTGTAATTAATCTCTATAAAATGTATTTTTTGTGTGAATATTTTTGGGTTTCTGGAACGGATTAATTGTATTTCCATTATTTCTTATGGGAAATATTGCTTCAAATTTCAGACTTTTCGAATTTAGAACTAGCTCCTGGAATGGATTAAGTTCGATTTTTGAGGTTCCACTGTATATTGATACAATAGTTTAGTTTTGCAGATAGTTTACATCCCTCAATCAAGAGCAACATAACTGTGCTATAAAATGAATATGAGGAATGAGCAAATTTACATGTTTCTGTACATGGTAGAAGGAGGGTGTAGTGGTGGAGGGGCTTGGCCAATGGATTCTAATTATTATTATTTATATATAACAAAATCTGTGTGGGTCATTCAGTGCAAGGACTGGTGGAGACTCAGTCCTCCATTTGCTACGTGTGGCCTGGTCTCTGACCAGACAGGCTGTTGGTGATTGAAGGTGGAAACCGTAACATTGCTAATGACATAAATAACACTTACTTCATAACTATACATTATTTCAAATACATGGGCAATTTCACTTTTTCCAAAGTTAACACTGCACCTGTAAAAAATAAGTTATGAAACTGCCTGGAACAATTCACAACTAACTAACAAATTGGAAATATAGGTTAGACAACTTTTTTTTTGGTTCATCTTGACATGAATGACATTTTGGTCCAGGATGGACCAAAATGTTGTCTAGGTCTCTGTAATTTGTGGTCTAATTACACGTGTGCTTATCTGACCATTGAAAACTATGTTTATGTGAAGGACAGAGGAAAATGAGAGAGAAGGGGTGAAGGAAAGTGAAGGGATGAGGGAAGAATAGAAAGAGAAAAGGGGAGAAAGTTAAGGAGGGAGGATGAGAAAGAAGAAATTAGAGGGTCAAGAAGAGGGAGGATAGTCCTTACCTTTTTCAGAACTCTCTCACACACTTGCTCTATGACCCATACAGATTTAGCACTTTTTTTAGTGATAATCGCTCATGTTTGCCTGAAAGTTATACAATTTGCCCCACTCAACAAAAATTTGTGTCAGTCTGCAAGGATTGCCAGGTTGACCTTACAATCCAACATCTCTTTATCGATTACCTCATTCATCAGAGCACATGCCAATTCATTTTGGATGTTTTCTTTAATTCTCTGATCTGCTTACTGTATCTGCCTTCCTTTCTGATGGTCCCACCTTTAACCCTTTCAGGGTCGACAGGCCCTCTCCCAGACTTGTTCTCAGGGTCGACAAATTTTCAAAAAAAAAAAAAAAATTATTTTTTCTTATGAAAAGATAGATAATCTTTTTCCGATCATAATGACACCAAAAGTATAAAATATGATGGAAAACTTACGGAATTATGCTCTCGTGAAGTAAGCGGTCTCAACGATGTTTACGCATCGGCGATTTTGCCCACTTTGAGCCCTATTTTTGGCCAATTCCCGTGTACTAGTCGACAAAAATCGTAACTATTTCGCTAGAAACTTCATTTTGTCTATCGAATGAGTACAAGAAACCACCCATTTACTGATTTCAACTATCCAATAAAGTGGTCAGAATTTAGCAATTTTGCCAATTTCACACAAATTTCAAAAGATGCCAATTTCCAAATAGGGTCCAGAATAAACAAGAAAGACATTCCTGGCACTAAAATAACATTTCCTCTGTTCATTAGTCACATCTCCCATGCCCCTCTTACATTCTTTTGCTTTCCACTTTGAATTTTTATTCTCACAAAAATTAGAAGATTTACTGTTATGCATACTACTGCATTAGTGTAGAAATGGTATAAATAATATCAGCACACTTCTGAAAGAATATTAAACTCACCAGTTGATGTGTATTGGACGCGTAGCATGATTTGTTTACTTTTGAGCTTTGGCAAAAATCGAAGATTTCTGCTACTTGAGCTCAATTTCAAGGTACTTTTCATTGTAAAACCAATCAGAATTGTCTCAATTTCTGTAATATGTCTTCCATTCTATAAATTGAGACCAGGAAAACTAGAATACCATCATAAATACCATACGAAAATACAGTGCAAAGTCGCTGTTTTAAATAAAAAACACTTGAATTTTTTTTTTTCTCATTACACACTGTGTGCTGCAGGATTTTTTTTTATACTGCGCACACTGACCACATAGACCCATTCTTTCATATGTAGGCCTACCAGCTTTCTCTCACTAGATTTGAGGGCGCTAGAATTTAGGCGTACGAGTACGTCAAAAACCCTGGTGCGTTAGCCGTACTAGTACGTCAGAAACCCTGAAAGGGTTAATGCAGACTCACTATGAATTCTTTACTGAAATTAATTTACCACATCATCTGTGATTCCCTGTTCCTTCCCCATTCTTTCTGCTGATCTTTCCTTCAACATCACTACCTCTTCCCCTCTACCATCTCTTTTGCCTCTGCCATGGAGCACTGCATAATGTACTCTGTGGTTTTAGTGCTTTCCCTGAATTTGATAATAAACAAAAATGTGCAGATACTTGAGGTATTGTGATTAGTTAAATGTCCTAATACTAGAGGGTTCACTGCACATTATATCTTTTTTTCCCACACTTGTTAAATGTGTTGTGTAAGGTCTAGTTTTCTCATTTTCTTCATTTTATTTTTCAGTGTATATAATAGCAACGGTGGCATTTCTGCTGAGTTCTCAACGCTTAATTCAAGTTTATATAGTTGTTGCAAGCATGGCTGTGGTGGTTGCTGGATATCAAGTGAACATGGCAACGGTGCGATACTTAACATCCCCTCCACTGTCTGAGCATCCTTCCTTGATCTATAGCATACTGTCTCTCAATGCTACAGAACTTTGGGATAGTGGTGGGACCCTCTCCATATTAACACTTAATTATATATTTCAAGGTTCCTTAGGATATCTCTTTACTCTTTTATATTCAGGACCCCAGTATCCATTGTTGCATAGATTTATGATTCTTTCTTTTCTCTTACCAAATATATCATTATTTTTTGCTCTGCCCAGTGGGATACTTTCCGCTGTACCATTGTTTGCAGCCTTGCTTCCCTTAGCAGTAGTCAAGTACACAGTTGCCAGCAATGTACTCAAATGTACACAAGTGATTATTGAAGGTTACCAGTATTCTCGTAGGATAATGAGGGATTTTGGACTTCATTCTCTCTTAGAATCTGAATGGGTACGACTTAATGTCCCAAATGTGTTAAGGACATTCTGGATAATTCGAGTTGCTCAGCATGTAGTAATTTTATTAGGAGAATTTATGTATGCTAGAGGAGAGTATCAGTCCCTTTGGAGCTTAGATTCAGAAGCTGTTTATGTCATTTTCAAAGGTGTAATGACACAAGGGTGTGAAACTGCTGTGGCACTACTTGGCATGACAAGTGTTGTATCCTATGTAAGTCATTATGTTGGTGTAGTGTTCCAGATGATCCTTCTGACAGTAGAAGATGATGAAAGAAGCATGGGAACAGTTTGTGCTATCTTGTTTTTCATCCTGGCTGAGCAAAGTGGCTTGACAGTTATGGATGGGGAGAAAAGATTTGTTCGATTGTGTAGAAATTTCTGTCTTCTCTTTACAGCAATGCTGCATTTCATACACAATATGGTGAATCCTGTGCTCATGTCCCTGAGTGCATCACGTAATCCAGCTCTCTACAGACATATTAGGGCTTTGATAGTTTGCTTGCTCCTCGTCTTCCTTCCAGTACTGCTGCTGTTTATACTGTGGTCATTTTATCCTCTATCTACTTGGCTACTTGCTGTTTCTGCCTTTTCTATACAAGTCATAGTCAAAACTCTGGTATCACTTCTAATTTATGGATTGTTTCTTATTGATGCTTATTGCAGTACCTTTTGGGAAAGGTTAGATGATTATGTTTATTATATTAAAGCATTTGGGAATAGTGTGGAATTTGTATTTGGAATTCTCTTATTCTTTAATGGAGCTTGGATTTATTTCTTTGAGTCTGGAGGATCCATTCGAGCATTCATGATGTGCATTCATGCTTACTTTAATATATGGTGTGAAGCAAGAAATGGATGGACTGTGTTTATGAAACGACGTACAGCTGTTAATAAAATTAACTCCTTGCCAGAGGCTACACAAAAGCAACTTAATGAACATGACGATGTTTGTGCAATTTGTTTCCAAAACCTGCGAAGTGCTAAAATCACCAAATGTAACCATTATTTTCACAGTGTATGTTTGCGGAAGTGGTTGTATGTTCAGGATTCATGCCCACTATGTCATGAAACACTGTATAAAACTGATACCACTAATGAAAAACAGAGAGTTGGTGAAAATGGAGGGGAAGTGGTATGGGATGTGGGTCCAGAGCAAGATATAGATAGGCATGGTAACCATCAAAATGAAGTACATGTGATAGGTAATGCTGAAATGCAGATGTGGGGGAACCAAGACATTGATGTCATTCTTGGTGAAAATATGAATGTTAGAAATAGAGAGGTAGTGATTGATAATGAAGTAGGAGAGGCTGTAATAGTGGCACCTCAGGTTGAACACCTTGAAGATAGGGCTACACACTAATACCAAAAGGTACTGTGTAATCAATTCAACTCCAGGATAATGCAAAACATCCTATGAATTAAAAAAAAAATACGTATTAATCTAGATCATATAGAGATTCTATCACTGATCAATTTATGCAGTTGGTCAACAATTGTGAAACTGTGCAGCAGTCGGTTAATAAAGTTATTGTGCAATTTTATTTAGAGATATACCAGTGGGTGATTAAAGAAAAGGATAGATGGTATTGTGAGGCTACCAGGTGTATGTATTTACAGAATATATATGCAATAAACCCCTTTGCACCCATCCAGTTCTGTAACAAGTTGCTTTCTTGACACGGAGTGTTGAGTCGGTAATTATGCATCACTCTGTATGTCTTAACATATGTTGGTCACATCTGCAATGACCACAGCTACCTTGCTTCAGTCATGCAGTCATTTATCATAAGAATACACCCATAGAGACAAGTCAGTTATAATATCTTACAGGGACACTAGATTGTAGGAAAATGCTGGGAGAGTGGGTGGGTGAGGAGTGTGTTCTATGCATGTCCAGTGTAGCTAACTTGGCATCTATTCTTAGCTCCTTCCTTATACGAGCACCTCTGTAACCGTCTTATGCCACTTTTGTCACCATGTATGCCTACAACTGATTATGTGTAAGATGCAGCAATGTAAATTTGTTAGATTGAAAGCCTATTGACTGCACATGGATCATTAAGACCTCATTATATCTTCACACAATCATAAATGCCCTTTTAATTCTTAATGTACAGATTAAAGTAGACTCCTGGTGTGTACACAGAAATATACACCTCTTGGTGTATATATCCTCACAGTAATGCAAAATATTTATACTAAGGACTTAAATTTAACCTAGATGGGCAGTTATCTCCCATTAGGCAGCATTTTTCTCATTTTGGTGGCAGTAGCACTTATCATGCCCATTTGTAGCTACTGAAGCAAAGATATGCTCATGATGTCCCATCTTTAATATTTTATCAATCATAACTTTTAAAATTCTTAATAATTGTTCTGTCACTGTTCAGGAAGAACTTTTTAGTATTATTTCAAAACTCATATCCCTCATATTCCAATTTTAATATAATCTATATTGTGAACAACTTTTTTTAGCATTTTCCCATTTATTAATCTGAAGTCTTATTTTAAAAGTTTCTTATTGTAGCAAATGAGTCTCATAATTTTATTCATTACTATGACCCTTCGGTGACAATCTTTTGCCAGTGATGACTAATTTTTTTTTGCTTTTAATATTTTATCAGACTATATTGTTCACGAGACCTGCTTTCTCCTATTTCTATTACATGGCATTTATCAACAATAAATTACATTATTCAGCTGTCACTCTATTTGCTCAACTTATCCAAGTCTATATGCAGGGATTTACAATAAGTTATGTTGCTTTATTTTTAAATCATCCATAAATATGTATAATTTTATATTCATTCTGCCAATTTATGTATTTAAATTAGAAACATAATCAGGGCAAGGTGTGATCATAGTAGCACCCTGCTCGTGGTATCATGTCATGAGGACATATCACCTCCTATAACTTTACATTTTCATTTCAAACAGAAAATTTCCCATCAGCTGTAATAATTTTTCTTGTACTCCTAAATTCTGTAGTTTCCAGAGTATTCTGTCATGAGGAACTGCATTGAAACCTTTCTTTTAGTCTAAATAAATGCAAGCTGCCCATCCATTTATTTCTTGAATAATTTCTTAATAGTTTAATGGATTTGATATACAGGAATTTGCCTGATCAGAACTGAAGTATTTGTTTCAGTAATTATCAGTTTCTGTTCCCCTAGCATATTATCTGTCACAACCACCATCACTTGCTAATTTTATATGCGTGTTTACTTGTAGACAGGTATATAACAGTGGGTCATTGCCCTCATGGGCTTGGTCTCATATCAGGGCTCCCAGTTGATGGCCTGATCATTCATGCTGTTGGTGTTAGTTACACACAGTCAAATGTAAGCATCACAGCCCGGCTGATCAGGAACTGACTTGTTAAACTTATCAAGGTTCCTGTTGAAGACAGCCAGGGGTCTCTTGGTAATTTCCCTTATGTATGAAGGAGGATGTTGAAAAGTCTCTTAATGAGTTATCTCGAGTGTACTCAGTCACCCCTGCTTTTCATTGGAGGCATTTTGCACTCTGCTGGGCCTCTTTATTATTACAATCTGCATGGAAAGTTATGATGCCAGTGTCACGACTTTTTGTGTAATTTATTTCACATACTTATGTTGGTCTTGTGTGATGAAAAATATTATGATGTCTGTCTGGCCGCATTGTATAAATACTTGACAATATAGCATATGTCATGAGATTTGCCCAGTAACCTTGTGGCTATTGTGAAGGGAAGAAGTATTTTTTGGTGTGCACATCAGAGGGCCATAGTTTCATGTGTGTGGGTTCACTACCCCCTCTCTTGTGACCAGTATTAATGTCCAAGAGAAGTGTAAATAAGGAAGATGCATCATCTGTGATTACCTTGCATAAGAGCAGCCATGTTAAACACTATTTTTGTTTAGACATGACTGGAATTACAGTCAGTAAAGCATCTCGTTCAATGTTTTTGCAGCCAGGGAAAGACCCATGTTCCAGTTCCTCTTCCCAAGGGACACTGAAAGTGTTTGTTCATCAAATAAAGGCAAATCCTTCCAGTAAAACACAGGAAGCGAAGGAGAAAAAATCCTTGGTTATTGGAGCATGTATCCCTCAGCTGTCTCCAACAGTCACTCCATGATGACTTAGGATTTAGAAACTTTCGTGCCTGCAGTAAACCTCTTCTCACAGGGCAGCAGAAGGAGGGAGGGGGGGAGAGAGAGAAAGAGAATAGATGAATCAACCTTTACAGTGACTTAGTGGTGGAAGGAGGGTGTATTGTGCACTTCGTTCTGACCCCCACAGTACACTGTGAAACACCTTGCATTCCTCATGGTGTAGGGATGTTTCACTTATTATGGTGTTGGGGAATTAGTAATACTTCCCAAAACTGTCATAATGAATCATAACAATTATTTGGAACTTTCAATGAATTATTTACCTGATTCCTCTGGAAAACCCAATGCAACACTGTTTATGCAATACAGTGCTCCATGCCACACTGCCAAAAGTGTCAAAAAGTGCTTGAGTGATTATGAAGTGCCCTATTTTAGTGACTAGCCAGGTTATAGCCCAGACCTATACTTATGAAGTGTTAACTAAGGGGCCATCACATGTCATCTGGGCTTCATTCTCATCTGTCTTTCAAAATTTATCTTACAATGTTCCTCAATGGCTTATGGACTGATTGAAGTTCCAGGAGAATGCAGCCAAGTATTAACTTTAGTGGCAAGTGTTATATTGCTTAGTTTTTATAACCAACCATAATTTTTTCTTTTCACCAGCATCTTAAATTTCTGTGCAACCTGTGTTTAGGGGGAAATGCTAAACTTGTAGGGGTCACATAGCATCCAAGAAATAGGAAGCAATCAAGTCCAATTCCTTGGATCAAGAGCCCTTCATAAACATCAAGGAACCTCCCTTGAGGGATGCTGAGCCTCTTGCTCTTGTAGGGAGTGATTTGGTATGCAGATTTGGGGCCACTTTCTCCAGAAATTTTCCAGGTGTTAATTATGATACATCTTTCTTGCCTACATTCCAGGGGGTATATACTGTAATGCACTTATTACTTTTAAGATGCATTAATGTTAAACATTTGTACTGTATCAATGATTTTAGCATAAACATCTACCTAAAAGTTCTGAATATGTACTCTCTGAAGCAGAAGAGAAAAGATACAAGACAGTATAAAAATAGAAGATAAATAAGAGCCAGCTCCTAAACCTACACACTGCCATAATAATGTACTGGAACGAGAGATTCAGTAAACCCTCAATGTTATGAATTAATTGGGGAATTTTTCAAGTGTCTGTTTCACCAGAATAATGTTAAAAAATAGCAAATGTAGGTGCATCAGAGACTATTGTACACCTGATATAGTACTGTACATGCACTTTACAGTTTTTTTTTTTTTTTTTTTTTCTTCAACAAGTCGGCCATCTCCCACCGAGGCAGGGTGACCCAAAAAAAAGAAAGAAAATCCCCAAAAAGAAAATACTTTCATCATCATTCAACACTTTCACCACACTCGCACATTATCACTGTTTTTGCAGAGGTGCTCAGAATACAACAGTCTAGAAGCATACACATATAAAGATACACAACATATCCCTCCAAACTGCCAATATCCCAAACCCCTCCTTTAAAGTGCAGGCATTGTACTTCCCATTTCCAGGACTCAAGTCCGATTATATGAAAATAACCGGTTTCCCCTGAATCCCTTCACTAAATATTACCCTGCTCACACTCCAACAGATCGTCAGGTCCCAAGAAACCATTCGTCTCCATTCACTCCTATCTAACACGCTCAGCATGCTTGCTGGAAGTCCAAGCCCCTTGCCCACAAAACCTCCTTTACCCCCTCTCTCCAACCCTTTCGAGGACGACCCTACCCCGCCTTCCTTCCCCTATAGATTTATATGCTTTCCATGTCATTCTACTTTGATCCATTCTCTCTAAATGACCAAACCACCTCAACAACCCCTCTTCTGCCCTCTGACTAATACTTTTATTAACTCCACACCTTCTCCTAATTTCCACACTCCGAATTTTCTGCATAATATTTACACCACACATTGCCCTTAAACAGGACATCTCCACTGCCTCCAACCGTCTCCTCGCTGCTGCATTTACCACCCAAGCTTCACACCCATATAAGAGTGTTGGTACTACTATACTTTCATACATTCCCTTCTTTGCCTCCATAGATAACGTTTTTTGACTCCACAGTTATACGGCAATAAACATTGAAAATAAAGTTAAAAGCACAATTTAACCAGTGGAATTTGCTCATTATTTTTGAAGTCCATTATATTGATGGTTTACTGGGAGGAAATGTGGAGTAAATCTAGTGAAGGGCAGGGGTGCCATGGACACAGTAAGGGAACACTGTATTAACATCCGTGAGCCCAGATTATTCAAAATTCTTTCAGAAATACTGCTGAGATAAGTGTAGATGTCTCTTCAAGGGGAAACTTGATCAGTATCTCTGCCAAGTGCCAAATCAACCAGGCTGTAATGGACATAGGCTAGCAGACCCATGAACTACTCTGATTAATAGCCAGGCTGCTAGAGTAGGAAAATTCTTGAAACCGGTCACAGGTATATCACAAATCACAGGTATGTTCCATAAGCTAGTGTGTTCTCAACATGGTGGACATGGCACTTATGTGCTTAACTGCTTATACAGGAAAAACCAGCCATGTTTCTGCTAATTCTATTTTCATCATCATTTCTTAATATTTTATTCTTATACTGATTATGTAAAAGATCCAGCAATGTTATTAATTCATATCAGTAATTTATGCCTAAATAAACATCTATGTATATCCCATAAGATAGGAGGTTTTGTGACCATGGTGGCTGTGAAACTTGTGCTCATGCAGGACTGACCACTGGATTCTGCTTCCACTTTCATCACTATTGATGTAACATTCCCTTATTATTCAACATTGCAATGCTTGTTACATACTTGCATATTAACCCGTTAACTGTCCAAACGTAGATCTACATTCTCTCGCCCAGTGCTCAGAATATTTTGAAAAAAAAAAAAAAAATTCGTTTTTTTTATAGAAATAAAGAGCACATTTTTCTCTGTGACATAAGATAAAAAAAAATTAGGGTAGTACTTACCAGATATGAGCCTACAAAGTTGGCCCTTGATGCTCATCTGACGGCAACATGGAGTCCTGCCGCTTGCAGAAGTGTTGCCGATGTACTTTTTTTCTCGTTTTTATATAATTTTTATGCTCTGATAATTACTATTTATAGTATTTCTTGTGATTTGATAGCCAATCTTTGTTCTGACACTAATACGTGTATTAGGTACTGAAATAGTACTCAAATAATCACAAACAGTGACAGGTGAACATTTTCACCTACCTTAGTCACATACTATTGTCTAGAGATATACACATAGTACACCTACCATCCGACTTACGACCTGCTCGACTTACGACCGTGTTTTTTATGCCAAATTTCTGGGAAATAAACAACTATTTGTGTTGTACACAGTGTTTATCCTAAACCTTACAGTATAAAATACAATACTAACAACATAAAAAGTAAAGTAAAACATGAAATACCAAAATAAAACAATAAAATAAAGTCTTTACAAAAATGTTTTATTGATATTCAGTGGTAAAGTTCGACTTACGACCATTTCGACTTACGACCGGTTTCTCAGAACCGAACTTCGGTCGTAAGTCGGATGGTAGGTGTATTT